CCTTTAACCCAGGAGAGATGGCACCTGAGGCCATATTCAGTAGAATGTGGGCCGGGTCTTCTGTCCTGTCCTGACCTTACAACCTGGACATGTTCCAGGGGAGGTCCTGAGGCAGAAGTTGTACCTTCTAATGCCCCTCTCCAAGAAGCACCCCCAAAATACCACCTGTTGCCCCCCTACAGCCACCACCCATCCCAGCTCTGTCCTGTTCTTCAGGGGAAAGGCTCTTTGACCTGCATGAGATGCTGAGCAGACACGGCCGCATCCTGCAGGCCCTCTGGGGTCTCTCTGAGCACCTGGCCCAGGTCAAGAAGCAATGGAAGAAGCAGCTGGGGTTCCCAGCCTGGGCCAGATCTCAGGTGGGATGGGTGAGTGGCCCATGGGCATCCATAGCTCCACCTATGAGCTTCAAAGAGCAGCAAGTGCTGGGTGAGGTGGCGCATACCTGTAATCCCAGCACTCGGGAGGCTGAGGCAGGAGGATCACTGTGAGTTCCAGGCCAGACTGAGCTGTATAGTGAAACCCTGTCTCAAAAAACAACAACAAAAACAAACAAACCAAATAAAAAAAAAGAGCAGCAAGTGACAGAGCCAGGCGCAGGTCTCCCCTAAAGTGTGGCAGGCAAGGAGGGGAGGGGTGAAAGGCTGAAGATCACAGGGTGGGGCAGCATGGCTTGTGGGAGGGCATCTCTGGATAAGCAAATGCCCATCCAGCGGCGCAGGGAAGTAGTGATGCCAGATATTTGGATCGGGACTACAGACAAATGACAGAAATAGACTAGGTACCAATTTGCATGTGGCTGCACATGTGATTTGCATATGGCTTGCTTAATGCTCGGCTGCACAAATCCTCATTTCATCTCCACTGTCATCCTGGCTCCTCCCCTGAGAGCCGTGCCCTGGGCATGCCCTGCCAGGGGACCTGGGAGCTAAACCCACCCAGGCAATGCATTTGGCCGAGCAGAGGCCAGCAGCTCCTGCAGGCTTTGCTGGGCTCTGACAGCTGAGGTTTTAATCTTGCATTCCTAGGCCAGAGCAGCTTAGGGAGGATCGCACCCTCCAGGACCAGTCCTCTTGGTCCTATCTGCAGAGCCAGGACCCTTCCTGCCAGACCCCACCCATCCCAAGAGAGGCAGCTACCTTTCCAGGCCACTTGTCAGGGCAGGGACTCAAAGCACAGGGTATTAACCAGCCCTGGCCCCCAGTTTGGATCACACCCTGGGAGGTGGGGACTGAGAGCACTGGGATGGGAGGGATTAGAATAGGGGGATTTTGAGAAACCCAGGAGTGGCACGGATGGGAGGGGCAAAGGGCTTGAGATCAGGAGGAGACTCCAGAGACCAGATGGAGAGGTGAGGAAAACTCAGTGTGTCCAAAATGAAGAGGGCGAGGGGCTGGGGATTTAGCTTAGTGGCACAGCGCCTGCCTAGCAAGCACAAGGTTGTGAGTTCGATTCCCGGTACTGGAAAAAAAACAAAGGAAAAGAAAAAACCAAAATGAAGAGGGCAAACCTGGCCTGGTAGTGCATGCCTATAATCCTACCACTTGGGAGGCTGAGGTAGGAGGGGTTTTGCTAGTTCTAGGCCATCCTGAACTATATAGTGAGTTCAAACCCAGCCAGATTACATGGCAAGACCCTGTCTCAGAAAACCAAAAAATAAATAAAATGAAGAGGGCTCTAGTACTCTGGTAAAGCCCCTGGAAGGAGGAGGGCTGCGGTATCCCTAAGGAAGGTGGCCCTGAGAAGGTGGACCCTGCACTCTGAGTGAAAGGCTACTCTCTCCCTCTCCCCCTCCCCCTGCAGGACTCTGCCAAAGTCAGCACCTTGCTTTGTGGACAGCGAACTCTGCTCCAGAGCCTGCAAGAGATGAGGTAAGGGAGGAAGGAATAGCAGGTGGGAGAGGGAAGAGAAGCCCCACCCCCACTTCCCACCAACGTGCCTGTCTGCCTGGAGGGTCTATGGGTCCTGCAGTCCTTTATTTCATGGCTTCGTGAGCACCCAGCACAGAGGGGTTGGGCTGGCTGAGCTGACCCGAATTTAACTGAATCAAGTTTAAAGTCTTGAAAATCCTACTTCAAAAGCAACTCTCACCAAGCATGGGGGCACACATCTGTAATCCCAGCAGTCAGGAGGCTGAGGCAGGAGAATCACCATGAGTCTGAGGCTAGCCTGGGCTACACAGTGAGTTCAAGACCAGCCTGAACTGCATACTGAGACCCAGTCTCAAAAAACATTTTTTTTTTTTTTTTTGGTGGCATGTACATGTACCAACTCCCCATGCTAGATGGAATCATTATGTACTACAAACATGTACTAATAAAAATAGAAACAAATTTATAAAAGGAAAAGACCATCATGCCTCATGAGACATTCTCACCCCAGGCAGAGATAGTAAATCTGAGCTTCCCTTTGGCAACAGCTCTCAGAAGGAGCCAGTGTTTTACACAGGTTTTAGAGGGACACAGCCAAGACCGGACTAGCTGGAGGAGGCAGCCCTGGGTTCCCTCTGCTCCCCACCAGTCTTTCAGCCTCCCATGATGGAGTCTGCAAGCGTAGGAGCTACCTGTGGAGCTCTGGGTTAGGAAATCGCTGGGTGCATAGATGCCCACCCCTCCCCACCACATCTAGGAGCATGGGATGGCACACCAGAGAAGGACAAGGGAGAGAAGCCAAATACCCTGGGGCCTGGGGGGTCAAAGATTAAGGAGATCCTTGTCCAGGCTAAAGCTGTCTTGGGGCCCAGAGAAGGTCTGGGGCAAAGACTAACCCTCAAAAGGATGGTGCCTGTTCTCCATCCATGCCCTGCCCTAGGGATCATGGGAAACGTTCTGGGTGCAACCAGAAGGTGAACGAGCAACCTCCCTGTGTCCACCCCGGCAGGGAGGCTGCTGCCCACATGGCCTTGGAGGCCCAGGTTGTCTCTCTGCCTGTGGGCACCGAGCATCACTTCCTGGAGCTGGACCAGATCCTGAGTCTCCTGCACAAGGACCTTCAGGGCACAGGGGTGAGAGAGGAGGAAGGGGTGCATGGGGCCCCGCTCCCTGAGGTCTGAACTCCACCACCCTCTCCCAACACTTCTGCAGCCCCAGGTGCCTGCCGCCTTTGCCTCCCTCCTAGGACCCAAACAGGCACGTCTGTGTGTCTATCTGTGTCTGAGTGTGCATGCGGGTGTTCGAGGACATGGGTCCCATCCCTCCACCCTTTCTGCTCTCTGAGGAGTCGCACAGACTCAGCAGCAGCGGGGTCCTGGGACCCCTTCAGTGTCCATCCTCTCAGCGACTGTAAGGAAATGGGCAGCTTTGCCTAAGATCACTCAGCACTCGGCAATGGAGCCACCCTGCCCTGTGCCACTCGTCCCTTTTTGCTCTTTCCCTTGCCCTCACCCTGTGTCTGTCTCCCTCTTTCTCTCTCTCCCTCATCTCTTAAGCCATTGGCCCCCAGTGATCCCAGACTCCAGGTGTTCCCAGCTTTTCCCACAGAGGCATGGGGGAGGCAACTCTGCACACTGCCCCTCTGCACATAATAGCCACCATAGCCCAGGCCTGGGGGAGATACATGAGGCCCAAGCCTGGCACAGATTCAAGGGCCCCTCCCTCCTGGATTGCAAGCTGAGCCGGGATCCCAGACTTTCCCCTTTCAGAAAGCAGCAGCCAAGCGCTCCCGGCCACCTGGCTGGCACCCAGGAACCCCCGCATGCCTGCGGCCTGGCATCTTCCTGCTCTTCCTCCTCATCCAGACCGCAGGCTTCTTCTACTATGTGAACTTCAGGTGGGTCCCTGGGAGCCGGGCTCCCCACAGTGCCAGCAGCGCAGCTCTGTGCTATCACTGTTCGGTTAATTGCAAGCAGCAGAACACAGGCTTGGACCCTTCTTTCACCAGGCACAGGCACCCTGTGCAGCCCCCTGCCCATCTGCTCCTGCTCACAGAGCCCTGCACAGTGAGGAGGTGGCCAGGAACTGACATTGATACCTGTGTGGTCAGCGCTCATGGCCGAAGCTCAGGGACTGTGGGAGCATAGAAGAAAGCACATGGAGATAGGGAATCAAACTGGACAACAGGGAAAGGACATTTGAGATGGGTCATCAAGGCGATTAGGAGTTTTCCAACCTGCCAAGATAAGTAAAGACCTCACTGGATGAGAAAAGGCATGGGAACATGAAGAAAAGCGTAAGAATTTGGAAAAAATGATGACTCAGTACTGTTGGAGACAACAGCAGCATCAGTTTGTGACACTGAGCAAAGATGATAGAAAAAGGTGGAGGGAAGCCGAGCATGGTGGCACACACCTGTAATCTCAGCACTCTGGGAGGCTGAGCAGAAGGATTGAAAGTTTGAGCCTAGTCTGAGAAATTTAGCAATTTAGTAAGACCCTGTCTCAAAAAGTATATATTTTTAAGGGCTGGGGATGTAGCTCGGAGCAAATGGCCTGGGTCCAATCTCTAGTACTGCCTGCCCCCCAAAATGTGGAGGAGGTAGGAGGTCACTCTCTCTTCTTGATGGGTAGTGAGTGTTTGCTGAATGAATGTGCACTGTCTATAGACACAGATACACTAAGAGCCTCAGAAATTCCCCCTTGCTGGGGAAATTTCAAGACGAGAAGAATCCGTGTGGGCTGGGATGGTCCTGGAGGAAAAGTGGAAGATCCTGAGCATTAAGAGGAACAAAGTGGAAATGATCATGGGCTCCTGGGGACGAATAGGAGTGCAGATCTTGACTAAGGCACCTAATCAGACCTTAAATGACAAGGGGAAATGTGAACCTTGAGGGGCACAGAAAGGGAACCATAAGGACCCTGGAGAAGGAGAGGCTCTGGGGCAGTGAGTAGAGGGAGACAAGTTTCAAGGGGCCAGGCAGTGCCTGTAATCCCAGGACACGGGAGGCTGAGGCAGGCGAATCACCACAAGTTCGAGGCCAGCCTGGGCTACATAGAGAGTTCAAGTCCAGCCTGAACTACATAGTGAGACCCTGTCTCAGAAAAACAAAACCCCACAAGGGAGAGACCCAAGTAACCTTTCTCTCTCCCTGGCGGCAGGCAGGAGCTGGACAAGAGACTTCAGGAGCGCTGGTTCCTGGGGAGCCTCCCTCTGGGTCCTGCACCAGACGTTCCCAGGGTGTTGGGGGTCCCGAGGAGGCAGCCCTTCTCCTCCAGCACCCATGCCTGACTCACATCCAAGCCACTTCTCATGGGGAAGTAAGTGGCATCTGGGGTACGGGCAACTTGGTCTGTGTCCTCTTCCACTGGGTGTCCAGCTATGCCCTGACACTCCCAAGCCCCACCTTATTAAAGGTGACTTCTCTGTCCCCAAGCTTTGACGTGTTCATTTTCTAGCTCCTCTTAACCTCTGCTGGCTTCCACCTCCCCTGAGTAGGGAGTGGCCAGGTGGGCTCCAAGCTACAGGGAGGCCAAGGTCTTTCTTAACACGGGAAGAACATACATGGACACTCCTGAAGGGGAGGGAGTCAGCTGCGTGTGCCCCCTGTCCCCCGACTTGCCCAGCACTAAGAGTGGTGTCTCTCAGCGTCCCTCCTGACTCAGCCCTGCCAAAATCACCAAACCGTTCTCTCCTGCACACAGCTCCAGGGACAGCAGCGCAGGCATGTGACAGTGGAACTCTAGAAGCAACTCCTGAGCCATAAGTGGGACTCCTGCTCCCGCTCCCCCGCTCCCTCCCTTTATGGCCTCAAGCTCTTAGGGTAGCTGTTGAGGTCGGCATTTGGGGTGCGTATGGAGGGAGCGGAGTGAGTTTCTGTCCCTTGCTGCTGTCCCCATCACGTACCTGCAATCCAGGCTACAAATGACCCAGGAGTGGAGGGATTGGAGGAGGAGAGGAAGGCTGGGTCCCCGGGGGAGCAACCCCACCACCGCAGGCCCTAATCCGCTGCCAGCGCCGCAGGGAGCGCGGCGTGGTGGACCGAGGCACGTGGGGAGTGCGGGCTGCACGTGGTCCCGCCGTTCCAGCCCCGTGCGCGCCCCCCGCCCGCGGGGGAGGGGCTGCTGAGCGGGGCGGGGCCGGGAGAATGGGGCGGGGCTCTCCGGAGCTGTCCGAGGACTCAGTGCTGAAGTCGGCGCGGACGTGCAGTGCCCGCGCGGTCCCCGACGCCTGTTGCCCCGCCGGCCGAGACCATGGCGTTCATGGTGAAGACCATGGTGGGTGGCCAGCTGAAGAACCTCACCGGGAGCCTGGGGGGCGGCGAGGACAAGGGAGATGGGGACAAGTCGGCCGCCGAGGCGCAGGGCATGAGCCGAGAGGAGTACGAGGAGTATCAGAAGCAACTGGTGGAAGAGAAGTGAGTGGAATTCCTGGCCCCAATGATCCTCCACAAACACACACACACAGAGACATCCGCAGCCGCCGGGCCACCCCCGGGCCAGCCTTTAGCCTAAGCCCTTTTCCCTTCCTCCCTGAACTTGTTAAGAGACTGGGGGTGTCCTCCAGCTGCTCCCCACCAGCCCCTCTGCACACCTAGGACCCTGTTCCAGCTTCCTGTGACCCTGAGGGAGTGGGGAAGGAAGACCCGTGCCTGGGGTGGGGAGGGGAGTGCACGTGCATTTCTGATGAAACAGGTAATCCCTTAATCCGATCTGCCCTGATCCTTCTGACTAGGGCTCCTCTGAGCCTCAGGCTCTGAGAACAGACCTGCTCAGAAGGGGCTCAGAGTTGTGGATTCAGGTCCTGAGATGCGGGCCCTCCTGCGTAGCGAACCCACTGTGTTCCTGCAGTTCTGGGACAGAGCAGAGTTAGGGTGGAGTTAGGGACTGGACTCTAGGTCCATGTCCTGGCTTGGCTTCTTTTTTTTTTGTTTTTTTTTTTGTTTTTTGTTTTTCTCCGGTACCGGGAACCGAACTCACGACCTTGCACTTGCCAGGCAGGTGCTTTTGCTGCTGAGCTAAATCCCCAGCCACCATTGGCTTCTTATTAACTGGTTACTTTAGGCAAATTACTTAACCTTCCTGTGCCTCCTTTCCTCTTCTGGAAATGGGGTGGTAATCACAACTACGTGGCTTAAATATTTATGAAGATGAAACGACTTCATGCATGTAAACCATTTAGCACAGTGCCTGGCATGTGGGAAATCATCATTAAACATTAGCTGTGGTTATTTCACTCAAATGTGGCAGTTTTGTGAGTTGCAAGTTCTCATCCCCATTTTACAGAAGAGGAAGGTAGGTGGCTTACGAAGTGGTAATGGAGCCTGAGTCTGCTGTGAATACTCTTCCCCATGGGACACAGTTGTCAGGAAGGGAAAGGCAGATGGCAAAGTTCTACACAGAGCTGCGGTGATGGGGCACTATGCTGGGGACAGGCAGCAGACTCACCTAGCAGGCCAGGTTCAAGCACCCCAGCTCCATGCTGGCCAGCAAGTGGAACCAATGCCACCTGCCACTGGGCCCTGAGACCCCTCTCTCACTGCTCCCTCAGCCCTTGTGCTGACATCACCCCATACCTCCACAGGATGGAGCGGGATGCACAGTTCATGCAGAGGAAGGCAGAGCGGGCCACGCTGCGGAGTCACTTCCGAGACAAGTACCGACTGCCCAAGGTACACAGGGGCTGCGAGGCGCAGCTGGGACCCTGAGGTCCTTCAGCCAGGCGGTGTTGCCACTCTCAGTCCATAAGCTTCTTGGTGTGCTCAGTTAGATGCTTCCTTTTCTCATTCCTTTGTCCACTCATTTGTTCATGAACTTCTGTGGTTAACCAGCTTCCTTCAGGCCAGGCCGTGGTGCTGAGGGAAAGCCCAGTTCTGTGGACACTGTCAGGCTTGTGTTTTTGGTGTCAGTCCAAGCCCCTTCTCCTCTCCAACACCACCTCCCAGTGCTCACTCGGTCAGACCCAGCCCACAGAGGCTCAGAAGAGGCCAAAAGCAGATTTTACCTGGGACTTCTGAGGGTGAGGTGGAGGAGAGAAGGTAAGTGATGTGTGTGTGTGTGTGTGTGTGTGTGATGTGTGAATATCTTCACCTTCACAGTCTCACCTAAACCCCCAGTAATACCACCAAATAGCTGTCACCCACCTACAAGTGAGTAAACTAAGGCTCAGAGACAAGAAGGGTCTTGGAAAAAAAAAAAGAAGGGACTTGGGTAAGGTCATGCAGCCAGGGAGAGATGGAGTTAGAGCCTGTGCCCCAGGCACCTGGGTACCTGCAGAGAACAAAGGACCCCTCATTGACCAAGCAGCTTAGGAGCTGTCTCATGAAGCTCCCATCCCCCAGTCTCCCCTAGGTAGTGCAGCATCAAGTGGGCATGTGAGTGGGTTCTTCTGTTGCCTAGAGAGGAAACTGAGACACAAGCCACTCCAAAAATATCACCCTCGTGTGCCCAGAATTGTGCTAGACTCTGCAGGGGCAAAAAAGAAAAGCACTATCAGCACTCCTGACCTTGATCTTCACTTGAATTGAAAGATCAAATACATGGACATCACATGCACTCATGCAACAAATGTTTACTAAGGCCCTGCTGCCTCTGACTCCCCACAGGGCACTGGTCTTTTGAAAGTTTCTCAAAGGGACAAACTGGTCTGGAAAGCCTGCAGTACTCTAAACCCAGCTAGGAATAAATAGAGTCATTCCTCAAATGCTGGCACTGAGGATATAAGAGACACAACACAGCCAAGCATGGTGGTGTACACTTGTAATCCTAGCATCCAGCATTCTGGGAGGCTGAAGCAGGAGGATCATAAGTTTGAGCCCAGTGTGGACAACTTAACAACTTAGTGAGAATTTATCTTAGAATTAGCAGCATACCTGTTCCGTTGTACCTGTTCCAACATACCTGCTCCATGAAAAAGGGCTGAGGATGTAGCACAGTGCAAAGGCCCCAGGTTCAAGCCCCAGTTACAGAGACAGAGAGAGAGAGAGAGAGAGAGAGAGAGAGAGAGAAGATTATAACTCTGCCACCAGGGAACTGAGGCAAGGACTTGGATTCAGCTAAGTAGGACACAAGGCAGAAAGTCCCAGAGGGACCCAAAAATGCACTGACTATCACCTGGTGCCATGCAGAACACAGACGTTGACATCAGTGACATAGGTTAGAATCTAGCTCCTCCACTTTCTGGTTGTGTGATGTGGGCAATTTACTTAGTGAAATGATCCAAGCCTTTGTTTCCTTATTTATAATGTAGAGACAACAGTACCTACCTCCTAATACTTTTCCATGAGAGAATGCAAAGCACCCAGCTTGACATCAGCCATGTGCAAGTGTTATTAAATGACACTCATCACTGTCGCTGGCTATGTCCTTCAGTGTGGCTAACAACAGTCCCCTAAGACCCAGCTGATGGTGACAGTGTGATTCTCAGGCAATTCTGTTTCCTCTTTACTCACCATTCATTGTCAAAGTGTGAGGTTTCCCTGTCCCTGCATCAAGCACTTGATCCCAGGGTGTGGAAATGTAGGAGCCTGGCACCCAGGCCAGGCTTCTTTCCTGCTCTCAGCCCACCCCTCTTCCTTTCAGAATGAGACAGACGAGAGCCAGATCCAAATGGCAGGTGGGGACGTGGAGCTGCCCCGGGAGCTGGCCAAGATGATTGAGGAGGACACAGAGGAGGAGGAGGAAAAGTCGTCAGTGCTTGGGCAGCTGGCCAGCCTCCCTGGCTTGGATATCGGCTCCCTCAAGGACAAGGCCCAGACTACACTGGGAGACCTCAAGCAATCTGCTGAGAAGTGCTACATCATGTGACCGTGTTCTCTGGGGTGGCCACTGGGCAGCCAGAGGGCTGGGCTTCCATGAGAGCCAAAAGGGACCTGTACCCCGCTGGAGCTCTGTTCCCTGCACCAGGTTGGCCTCTGACCCTTTTTACCCATGCCCAAGTTGCCTCTGGTCCACAGGAGTGAATTCCCATTCCCTACCCTATCCCAGGGGGTGCTGCCTGGCAATCAGCCTGGGAGACCTCCAAGTCTGTAAGAAAAAGCTGCTCCTCTCTGGGTGTGCCCCCACTCCTGAACACAGGTGCCCTTACAGAGGGACACGAAACCCCTGGCCCACAGAGATATATCCCTTGTGTATCCAGACCCTTCAGGCACTAGCCCCAGATGCCAGCAGAGGGGAACCTGTGCAGCACCCTCAGCAGACAGGAGGCTGCATTCCAGTCCCTATCTTTATTGTCCTTGAAGGCTGCTCTTTCTGGCCTCATCATCTGTCAAATGGGAACAGACTAGGTAATTTCTAAGATTCTGGCATGGCATCCTGGCCACGTGGAGCTGAGCCCACAGCCCTCCTTGGGAATGGCAGCAGCTGTACCATGGCGGTAGCAGCTGCCACCCAGGCTCTGAAGCTGAGCAATGCTGAGAGGGGCAGAGTGCCAAGGATGGGGCTGGCACCGAGCAGTAGCCCAGGCAGCTCCAGGCCTCTCTGGGCCTAGGGCCCAGCCAATTTCTGTCCTGTTCCTGTAGAACTCTCTCTCTCTCTGAATTCCATAGCTGGAATCTCCTCTCCCAGCTCAGTAAAAAATAAAAATTCCAGATGACATGGCCATCTTCCCACCTCTTCCTGATCTTAAGTCTGGGAGCCTACTCCTCAGAGTCTGCCCTTGGAGGGGTAACCTCTTCCTCCTCACCTATGCCTTCATATGAGGGAGGGGACATCAGTGCCAGGGGCCATCAATGCCAGCCCCTACAGGAAGTTCAGGCTCTCCCCTTGCTGGGCCCTGGGTAAGGGAGCAGCAGGTCCAGTCTGGGACTGGGTGAACTAAGATGGGCTCAGGGGCTGGGGCAGATGTGGCAGCCAGCTGGATGGGGTTGTGTGTGACAAGGTGGGGTATGGGGATGTTACCTAAGACTACAGCTGTCTCTGGCCCTTGTGTCTGTACCCATCCCCAAGATGCAACGGATAAACAGGTGGAACCAGAAGAGGGCAAAGCGACTGCACCTCAGCCCAGCACTGCTGTGTGGCTTTCTCCAGGTCCTTTCCCTCTCTGAGCCCACCCAGAATAACAATGATACATGTTTCACAGGGTGACTATGTGTTTCTTTCCTTCTGATTGTGCTGGGGATGGGACCTACGGCCTCCTGCTTGCTGGGCAGGCACTTTGTCACTGAGCTACACCTCTGACCCCAAAGCGTGACCATCTGTACTGTCCTTGGCACATGACAGGCCATATCAATAAATAGTAACACATTTTTAACACAAAGTGAGAAGGAGAGGGTGTGCAGAGACCACACGGTGCTGCATCCTGCCGTGGTTGGCTGACACCTGGCCTGAGGTGGCCTGGGGTAAAGCAGGAATATGGTCCTGTCACTAAGCCTGGTGCCCTTGGAGGAGTTTGTGCCTATGCAGTGAAACATAAGTTGAGACATTTTTTTAAAACGCAAAAATGAAGAGCTCAAGTGTCACCCAGTGACCCTGTAAGGCTGGGCCAGGGCAGTGGTACACGGTGGGGCAGTGGTCGGGTCTCCAGGACGGGGGTCTCAAGGGAGTAGGGTGGGGGTGGGGGGATATCACTGCAGCCTGCCTAGTGCCCTCAGCCTGGGGATTGGGTAGGCAGAGGCTGAGCAGGGCCTCTGGGAGCCACCAGGATAGAGAGGTGGCAGCGGGCCGGGTTCAAGGGCACAGTGTCACAAGACCCTTTGTGAATGAGAACATGGAAAATCAAAACTGCACAGCGGCCAGGAGATGGGGAAAGACAGCCAGCAGGAGCTGGAGGCCCAGGGCTGTCACCACCCCCACCCCACCCCCACCTGGCTATCCTGAGTTCCTGGGGAGGGCCCGACACCAGGGACAACCCCCTCTTGACCTTCCCAAGCTGGAGAAGGCCCAGCCACGCGTAGCAGCAGGGCCCGCGTCAGCGCTGCGCCCTCTGGGGCCCTCTGCCTAATGGGATCCGACAGCCCTTGCCTGCTCCGCGCTATGCCAGGTCCGGAGCAGGGCAGAGTGGCAGGCGGCAGGGGTGGGGGGTGGGAACACTCACTGAGCCCTGTCAGAGCAGGGCTGTCGGTGCCTGGGGTCAGGAAAGGGGTGGGTGGGTCTTCACAATGGTTCTTCTGAAGATTAGGAGCCCTGAGAGGCCCTGACCTGTCTACAATGACCCAGGAATAGGGTCAGAGGGGCTCTGGGGTAGAAGGAACAAGTCCTGGGCTCAGGCAGAGGTGTGTCAAGAGGAAAGCCTGAGGGGTCCCCATCTCTGGTGGCTTCACCCTGCTTGCCCTGACCCCTCCTCTTTCTCTGCTGGCCCTGCTGTGCTTCTGTGTCCCTCTCATTCCTGAATCTGTGCCCTCCTGCACCTGCCCTGCTGCAGACCCTCTGGCTCTGGATGTGTCTGCCCTGCTCTCCCTGTCCTGTGTCTTTCTACTCTTATTTTAGATGATCACATGTTTCCTGACTGGCCTACCCAACTGGTGACATAGAGGCCATAAAGAAATTCACTTGCCACCCAAACTTCCCTTTCCACGGTGCCTAGAACCTACAAGGGCCCCATAGTCCACAGCCTGGTGACCTGGGCCTCTCCCTTCCATGCTTCTGTTCGCTCCCCGTCTTTTCTATTCTTTCTTTCCCTTGCAGGTAGTCTGAGAACACAGGAAATGTCACAGGTGGCGAACACACCCTTTTGTGTCCCTCCCTTACTCTTCCATTCCCAGGGAATGAGGAGCACCAAGATGGCTGCCTCCCTGTGTCATGTCCCCGGTGCACCTTCAGGGCTCCAGATCCACTCTAAAGGACTTCAGGGAGATCGATGGCACCTGGGGCCCTACCTACAGAGCCTCCAGTCCCCCTCCTGCTTCCCCCACCCAGACAGCTCAGGCCAGCAGGCCAGTTCTCAGCGGCAGGAGGGTGACGTTCTGAGGCCAGCTGGTCCCGGGGGAGTTAGGGAGGGCAGCCAAGGCTGGGGGTGCACAGATCTCCCTTTTCCCAGTAGCCAGATGGTCCCTCTGCAGACATCAGAGGCCCCAGGCAGGCACTGGGGACATCTGGGGGGTGTCCCCTCATTGAGTCGAGCTACCGACAGTGCCTGCTGACCCAGCTGATGCTCGCATTGGGGGAGGGGTTCCCATCCTCGGTTCCCTGCACTCCACGTCCTGCCTGTAACCTAGGGCCCTCCAGTCCTGTTTCCAGTCTGTGTGAGCCTCGGGAAGCGGGATGACCAGGGTCTTGGCTGCCTCAGCCTTCCTGCAAGAGTGCTGTGCCTGCAGGCACACAGCCATGAGTGGCCGGCTATGTAGGGGGGCCTGCAGGCATCTGTGAGTGTACACAGGGCTTCCTATACTTCTGTGTGTCTGTGGGATTTCAAGCACATAGGTGTGAGTATGAGTTAGTGTGAGGAAAATGGCCATTGCTGTTTTCTCTACCTTCAGCTCCACCCTCACCTTCAGGGAGGGCTGAGGCAGTAACCTGGCCTCTGGACAGCAGCCCTTCCAGACGATCTCAGCAGGAACCCAGATTATCCTCTGCCCTGTTCCCAGTGAGTCACAGGAGGGGCGGGCAGGCACAGCGACACCTGGGTTCCTCAGAGGCTCACCTCCCTCTCTCTAGGTTAAGTCCAGGCCCGGGTGCTCCCACAGTGTGGCCCAGTGCTGGTTCTGGGCTTGGGTGACTGAGTGGAAGTATCGGGCAGCGCAGAGGTGGGGACCTAGACATTGCTGTGGGACACGGGTCCTGCTTTGAGACTTTGAACCTGGGGCTTTTGCATTGAACTACATAACCAGCCATTTATTTATTTATGAGGCAGGGTGTCACTAAATTGCACAAGCTCAAATTTGCAGCTCTCCTGCCTCAGCCTCCCAAAGCACTGGGATTACTGGTTTGGGCCATGACACCATTATATTGAGTCCTCATCTGGCCCATTTGCAGAGATAGTGTCTCTCTCTAGACTACAAAATGATATCTTATTGCACTCTTAAGTATGTCCAGCCCATGTACACTGCCCTCATTACCAATTCCCATGGGGCACCTACCCTTATCCTCACTCTCCCGGGACAGGAAATGGCTGATGGAGGGGCCAGAGATCCTGCTCCACACTGCTCTCCAGTGGCGGAAGTTGGTGCTCTCAGAGGGTGCAGGCCAGCAGTTACCCAACTCACAAACGCCCTCTTTAGGCGGGGGTGCACCTCAGTGATGTTGCAAAGCCTAAAGAGTAGCTCCTGCTGACTGTCTGGGGTGCCCCCCCTCTTAATCCTCAGAGAGGCTCCCAACAAGAGCTGGTCACACCAAGGGCACAGAGCCTGCTGGAAATGACCCTGCCCTTTCCCCACTCCAGCCCACTGCTATGGGCCCAGGGTGAGGGGTGGGAGGTCTGGGGACCCTGGCAGGGGATAGACAGGCACTTAGAGGACAGCTCCTGCCATTCAGCCCCGGTGCACAGGGCAAGGGCCATGCTGAGTTCCCCTGCCCGAGCTTCCACCGCCCCATCCCCTGGGTGGTGGGCAGAACAGCAGCAGTCAGCTTGACTCTCCCAGGCTGAGGGTGGGAGGCCATGAACCTACTGCTCCCAGCTGTGATGCCCCAGGCCTCTTCAGGATCCCAGCTTTCCTGGCCCCTCCCACCCCTTCCTGGGGTCAGAGCTACCTCTCTAGTTTTCCCAAGGACAAGAACAGTCAGCCATACAAGTACAGAAAATAATTTACTACAGAAACAATGAGTTGCATTCTTTACACCCAACATCCAGCGGGAGGACACAGCACTACTCCTCTAAGGCGGCGCTTGAAAGCAGAAGGGTGTGGAGTCACCAACACCCTCTCTGCCTTTTAACAAGAACCCATCCAGTGTGCACATTCCTCTCCAGGGTAAATACACCATCCCCAAGAGCTGCATAGGCTGCAGAGGTATCAGTGGGCCCAGCAGAGATGAAGGCCCAGGCCGAGAAAAGAGAAAGGGCAGTCCAGTCACATAGTGGGGTAGCAGCAGCGTCAGGCCTAGAACCAGGTAGCCTGATCTGCACTGGGTCCCCTGTAGTCTCAGGAGGGTTTAGGCAGTTTCCAGACCTCTGAGCTCCAGGGTTAGCATGGGGGGTCTCTCAGAGAGGGATAAGGACTGAGGACTGCACCCCTAAGGGCACAAACGTGCCACCCCTGAGCTCTAGGGTTAGCATGAGGGGTCTCTCAGAGACGGATAAGGACTGAGGACTGCACCCCTAAGGGCACAAACGTGCCACCCCTGCAAAGAACCTGATGTCAGGCTGGAAGGGCGATCTTACGGGACTCAGACAGAAGTGGGTGTGAGCCCCAGCAGAGAGCACGCTGTAGGATGGGGGTTCCTGAGTGTCCCACTCTGGAGAAGGGAGGCACGCTGGAGTAACAGTATCCAGGAAGGGTGGTCCAGGGAGTGGCCGGCTGCTGGCAGAGGCCAGAGCTGAAGGGCCCTGCAGAGGGCCCTGCCCTCCTCTCAGAGCAAAAGTGACCGGCACAGAGCTCAGGAGTCACTAAATGACAAGGGTTCCCCAGGGGAAACTTCTCCCAGAGACTGGCCAGGGGCTCCAGCAGACAACACAAGCCACAGGACCCCTGGGCTGCAGGGAGCACCCCAGGGTGGATAGAGGTGTCCATCCAGGAAGCTCCAGGGTACATAGGGTCACTGAGTTCCCGGTGTCCTCTGGGTTAAGTGTGCCCTGCACTCCAGGTGGCCCAGGCTCTGTCCAGTTGTCCTGGGTCACTGTAGGGTACAAGCTAAGAAGGGGTGCAAAGGGAGGGTCACATTCTTTACTTTTTTGCTTTTATTTTGGTACCGGGAATTAAACTCAGGACCTTGCACTTGCCAGGCAGGCACTGTGCCACTGAGCTATATCCCCAGCTCTATTTTTCGCTTTTTGAGACAGGATCTTACTATGTAGTCCAGGCTGGCTTTGAACTCACTATGTAGCCCAGGCTGCCCACGAACTCATGGCAATCCTCCTGCCTCAGCCTCTCAAGTGTTGGGATTACAAGTGTGCACTACCTTGCCCAGTTCAGGCACACATGTAGCAAGAAAAGCAGAAGCCAGGCCCAGTCCCACCATCCTCCCTCCAGCATGGAGTACCAGGCCCCAGGCAGGACTCACAGCTCCGCACAGACTCGGACAGCCCCTCTCTGTCCAGGCCCTCTGCTTCCCAGCGAGACTCCTTCATCTGTGGGACATTGAGGCAGGACAAGGGGTGAAGCAGCCAGAGGCAAACACAGGAGCCGCAACACATAGAGGGGACAGGAGACAGCCATAAACAAAAAGGTTAAGGACGCACACACCCTCATCCTGACCAGAATCCCTTGTGCCCACCTTGAGCTGTTCCTTGAGGTACTCGGCCCGAGCCATGAGGTTCTGAATCTGCCATAGGAGAACGTATCCCGTGGTGGGTGAGCACAGCTTCCACCCAATTTCCTCCACATGCAAATACACCCCAGGACCCCTGCCCCACCAGGACAACCTCCCTGCTGACTCCTATCTGTCCCTTCCTTAGGAGACCCCCACCCCAAATGCTCAGACAGGAGCAGGTAGAACGGGAGAGAAAGCCCAGCCTCCCAGCTCTGGGGGCACCTCCGTATGAAGTAGATCCCGTCGCCGGCCTGGGGGCTCCGCTGTAAAGAGAGGGCAGGCAGTGAGGGCAGGGCAGCCCGGCACAGGAAGGGGGCGTGGCAAGGGGCTTCACCTGCCAGCAGCAGCAGCAGCTCCCCCAGGCAGTGCTGGTACAGGTCCAGAGCGTCCTGCTCCCCACCACCAGTGGCCTCTTCCTCCTGCAGTGCAGCGACACTGGTCACGTGGGCTCACATTTGGAGTCCTCCCCGGCTCATCCAAAGCCCTCTGCTAGGCACGAACCTTGGCCATGGCAGCTGCAGCCACTTCCAGGGCAGCAAGAAGGCGTGGTTTGTCCCGGGCCATCTCTGGGGTGAGGAGCAAAGGTTGGGGTGAGGGGACAGCCCATTTCCACATCACAGGAAGGCTAGCCCAACCTGCCTGCCTTGGGAAGAGGGAGGTTTGTGAGGGTCAGCCACACCCTCACAAGGCCCACCTCTCAACAGGTCCCGGGCAGAGGTCCCCTGCCGCAGCAGAGCCTGATTGGAGGACGCCACGATGGCCTTGAGCTCCTCGGCGCGGGACACGTACTGTCTCACCTGCAGAAAGGCAGGTGTGAGGGCTGCCCACCCTGCCAGTCCCTGCTTCCAAGCTCTCCTCTGGGTCCTCAGCAACTACCCCAAGCTGTAGCCAGGACAGGGGCCAGAACAGGGTGGTCTGACCCTCCCTGCCCTACGCTATGGAAGGGGCAGCTCCAGCCCTGAGAGAGCTGGGGTACCCAGGCCCTCCCCCTTTTGCCATCCATTTCGGCTTGGGGGGTCTCACCAACCTTTGCCTTAATTGCCTCTTTCCGCTGGGCATCCACCTCATCTGCAGAAGGTAAGGTTCGTATAAGGAATCTGAGAGATACCCTGCCCCACACCAAGCTGTCCAGAACCCCCCAGACACCAAGTTCCAGGGGTACCCTCAGCCTTTTGTCCTGAATAGGGTTTTTCCTGTGGAATCCACTGCTGCAGCTACATTGGGTCGAGGCCTAGCTCAGGACTCACAGTGCAGAGCAGGAACAAAGAAGTCCAGCGCCTTGCAGTACAGTGACAAGGCGGCTGTGGTGTCCCCCTCTTGGTCCTTCTGCACAGCCTGCACCACCAGGGCCGTCTGCAAGACAGGCACACAAGGGTCGTGACAGAGTGCAGACTGGACCCCACCCAGTCCTCCCCCACGGTGGTCAGCCTCTAACCGCTCGTGCCAGGCTCTCCCCACTCGGCATGTGCTCCAGGTCCACCCACGGGTGGGCAAAGAAGTCCTGGAAGGAGATGCGACGGGTTGGGTCCCGCTCCAGGAGCCGATGCAGCAGGTCCCGGCAGTCTCGGGACAGTGGGGGCCGAGAGGGCAGCTGCAGTGGGGGAGGAGGCAGGGATGGACGTCAGCACCCCTAGGGGCATGTCTGACTGGTAGACCATCTGAGACCTAGGAGGAACAGGGTGAGTCAGGATGATGGAGCATGATGGCCAAGGCCCACCCACTGCTGTGTGGTCCCTTCTTGTGGCTGCACAGGTGGGAATGGGGTCTACAACCTCAGGCCCTGACCTCTCCACCCCCAGGGGTTGCTGATGATTTTTCCCTGAGCCAAAGCTCCCGCACCTCGATCACGCGGTTGCTCCGGATCTTCTCCTCCAGCTCCAAAAACGACCTGGAGGCAAAGGGGGGCTGGCCGAAGAGGGCCTCTGTGGAAGGAGGCAGAGTAGAGGCTGGAGGGATTGAGCCTAGCCCAGCCTGCAGTAGAGAGGGAGCCTGACACCCCTCAGGGCCGGGCCTTGGGCCAGGAGAATCCCGGGAGAGGTCTTGGCCCAGAACACAGTGCGGCTTTTGGGATGGAGACCAAGAGACAGAGGTCTTACCATACAGGATGACCCCCACAGACCAGAGGTCCACACGGGCGTCATACTGCCGCTGACACACCATCTCGGGGGCCATGTAGAGTGGGGAACCTCGGAGCACATGCTTCTCATCCCACGGGGACATGTGCTGTGCAAAGCCAAAGTCTGCAGGCAGGCGACAGGAGATAAGAGGCAAGGGGCAGGGCTCACATCCCAGCGGCTTGGGCTCCCGACACAAAGCCTCGCCCCAGGCTCCCCACTGGGGTCTCCTCTCTGCCTACTAGGATCCAATCTAGGGCACACACTGGGCACATCACCAGCCTGCAATGCCCTCCTCCTTTGCCCTCTGGGCTGGAAATCCCACCCACCTGCCCTGCCTCTGGGATGCCTTCTACACTAGCAGGGATAAGCACCCTAGTCCCTCAGTGTCCTGTAGCTTAGACCATACCATGTTCTCCAGCCCCCAGCTCAAGTCCCTTTTTGTCCAAGGCTCACCGGGGCCACACCCACCCTCCCCTGATACCCTCCTAGGCTGCCCCAGACTGAGTCACAGTCCCAGCCCCAATTTTGGTGACAGACTGTCTAGTTCTAGGTTACAGACTGGTTCTTCATGCTGGTCTCCCGGTGGCACTTTCAGATGACTGCAAGGCAGAGCTCCACAGCCTGTCCACATACTGAGTCCTAACTTTGCCCCTAACTGAGCCCCAGCTCCACATATTACACCACTGGGCTTGAGTGGGGTGGCCTGAGAAGGTCCTGCTGACTGGTGATCAGCCCTGACCACCTGGCCTGTCCGTGGCTGGTGACTCAACAGGGGGCTCCCTGAGAACCACAGCTGCTGCAGGAGCCCACACACACAGGCCTCTCCTCACCCACCCTAAAATCTCACCCCTGCTGTTCTGGACTCACACCTGCCAGTTTCAGATGAGGCTTCTCCAAGGAGCTCAGCAGAATGTTCTGTGGCTTCAGATCCAGGTGAGAGATGTTCCGTTCATGCAGGAACTGCAGGGCACTAGCTGGGTAGCGGGACCCACGGGGATATGGGTCAGAGGAGCCCCTCTCTGCTGATTCCTCCTCTACTCAGGCTTCCACGGGCCCCTCTGACCATGCACAGCCCCACTTCCTGCCTGGCTGCTCCACCAAATGCTTTACATACAAGCACCAGGCTCCTGTCACTTTTAAGAGTTTGCTACCCGCTAAGAGCCAGCCTTCTTCCCCTCTGCACCCTTCACAGTTGTCCCTTCCTCCCAGAAGCCTCCTGTGATGCCCTCACTGCTAAGGGTCTTGTGCTTTTCCTTGCCAAAGCACTTGAGTTCCACCTACTGGACCATGGAATGTTCTACAGCATCCTTATGTTATGTTCCACTGTGGAAGTCTGAACACCCTGTGAGGTGTTTCTCTCATCTCTCACTCGCATCCTGAAGCCAGGTATGGGGATGCGGGGCAGAACATGCCAAGGAATCCTGGAGACAGGGTGCGCTGGGGGAAAAGCAGCAAACACGGGATGGGGGTCAGGCTGGGGACAGAGGCTTTTACCCAACTGCTGCATGAAGACCCGAGCCACCTTCTCAGGCAGAATCCTGCGAGTGTGGATGAAGCGAGACAGGTCACCCCCCGCGCAGAACTCCATGATGAGGTAGATATTGTCACTGTCCCACTGTGGTGAGGGGGACAGGGGCAGCCTGAAGACAGTGTCCCTTCTCCAGCCCCCTGGGGGAGCCCTGCCCTAGGCTGGCACCTGGAAGTCTTTCAGCTGCACAATGTGGGGGTGCCGGATGCCCTTGAGGATCTCGATCTCCGTCAGGAGGTTTTCCACCGACGCCTTGTTCAGACTTTTCTTGGCCACACACTTTATGGCTACCACCTCTCGTGTGTCCTTCTGTGGGGACAGGAGATCTAGGGGTGTCTTCTTGGAAATGCCTGGGCCAGGCCTGGCTGGAAGGACTCTGCGTCCGCCTGCTCCCTCCCCTGCCTTCCCCACCTGGTCTCCCGGTTTCCATCCTCCGTCGGGCACCTGATTCTTCCCCAGCCTCTGCCACCTGCCCTGCATCCCAGCTGCCCGCCGGGCCTGCCGCCCAGGCCTCTGGCACTGCACACTGCCTCCTAACTGGTCCCTGCAGAGCCCTCCCGGACTCCTCCCAGCCTAGCAGGCGCTTTCCTTTTCCCAATCCTCAGCCGCCACTGGCGCCGAGGGTCCCCAGCACGATTCTCCGCGGCGCCCCAGCACGCACCCACCTTGGCGTAGGCCTTGTACACCGTGGCGTACGTGCCGCTGCCCAGGCGCTCGGTAAGGACAAAGCCGTCCAGCCGCGGAGGGCCCCAGCCGGGTCCCGCCATGCCGCGCACAGCAGGTGCTTCCCGGTTCCGGCGCGGGGCGGCTGGCGCGGCGGGGCTGAGGCAGCCCGACCGGAAGCGGAGAGAGGCTCCGCCCCCAGCCGCCCCGCCCCCTCTCCGCTCTCCACCGCGCTGTGAAGCCGGTTTGGGGGCGCCGAGGCCTCAGGACATGGGCGGCTGACGATGTTAATCCAGAGTCCTGCTCTGGCTCGCCGGGGTCGCCCACGTGCTGGGCGGGGCGGGGCAACCAGAGGAACAGGCGTGGGTACAGGGATAGGAGTTCCAGGAGAGCCCCAGGTGCTGTTCCCCAATCCCAAGAGCTCTGAAAGTGAAGTATGAGACAAGAACATGCCTCTGGGAGAGGTCCTTTGCCTCCCGCTCCACCCCGCTGTCTCCGGGTTACAAGGGGTTCATACCCAGTTGTTGGAACGGACCAGGCAGGGGGCATCTTGATTGTCCTCGGTGCCCATGTGGCGGCCCACACCATCCTCCCCCCCCACCAACCAGACATCAGAACCACCGCTGAAAATGTCATTTTTATTTAAGCACAAAAATGGAGTCATAACATATACATTTGTACATGAAGGGAAAAAATACCAGAGAGGAATTTACAAACCCCAGGTGGCTGTCATTGTCACTCAGTGGCACCAGCCCCGAGTGGGCTGTGGCAGACTGCCTCCCACCCACACCCAGCAGTTTGGGAGGGGGGTCTCCCAGGCATCCTTCCCAGGGCAGGTGGAAGCTCTTAGACTCTGCTCCAGGTGAGGGAGGACCCAGAGGCGAGTCTGGAACCCTTGGAAGGATGCTTCTCCTGCACCCCAAGTGTCCTAAGCTGGACACTGCTGAAGCAGCAAGGGGGAAGGGGCAGGAGTACGGCTAAGGCAAAGAGTAGCGGTCCCTCAGGAAAGGAAGTCAAAACAAACAGGCCAAGCAAACCACACGGGGACAGCCCAACCATCCTCCTAGCCACTGGGCAGGACAACTGGGATCAGTGTCCTCTATCCCTCCCCATCCCTAACCCCAGCCACTGGACATTCAGAAAGACCCAGCAAGGGCCCAAAAAAGCCACACCAGGGGGGTGTACAGGGCTTCAAGGACTGTGAATCTACTTATGAGGAAAACCAGTCTGCGTGGCCATGCCAGAGAAGCTCAGAGACCACCCTAGGGTGATTTGGAATCAAAGCTGCCCACCCTCCCATCCCAACTGCAGCTCACCAAAGGGAAGCCCTTGGTGAGCTGGAAGCCCTTTTTTCTTTTCTCTTGTGTACAGTGGGACTATGAAGACCACAGGCTCAGCAGGCCCTGGGACATGGGCAGGAAACTCCAGCTGCACCCGGCCTAGGCTGGCCCACGTTCCCATGCGTGTGAGTGGATTGGGGGAACATGCCTGTGCGCATGTGTGTGTATGGGGAAGACACATTCAGGCCCACTGCTTCCAGAGACAAACCACCTACCAAACCACCACCAGACGAGGACAGACAGTTTTGTTATTTTTTCTTTTTTCCTGTGTACAAAAAAGTCCCTGTCCCTCCCTCCCCCTTCCCTCTGTGGAAGGGACAGTTGGTTGCTGAGCAAGGAGGAAGAGCCACAACAGGACTCCACCAGGTGGATGCCGGGCATCCCCACTGCATAAGGCACCGCGGAAAGTGCAGCTCAAGGCAGGCGCAGAAGAGGCTGTACAGAGGCCGGAGTGGGCTAATTCCCCTGGAAGGCTCCCTGGGCAGCAGAGGAGGCAGCGCTGCGGAAGGTCCTGCTGCTGAAGATGCCCTGGGAAAACTCCTCCTGGGCCTGTTGGAAGCTGGCTCCCGTGCGGCGGTAGAAAGAATGCACCTGGGGAAAGAGATGGGTGAAGAATGATGGAGCCCAGGCACCCAGGTCACACCCCCAGGGGGTTATCAGGGGCTGCCCCTGCATGCCCACCCATGCACCTTGGACAAAGGCCTGGCTGTGGAACAGCAGGAAGCCCAGGTGGAAGCAAGGCCCAACCCCACTCACCCGCTGCAGGAGGAACAGTGAGAGCCCAGCGCAGAGGGAGAAGAAGCCAGCCACCACCATCATGATGATCGGTACGGCCAAGGACTCGTGCTGCTTGAATGTAGACAGAGCTGCGATCCAACCACTGCAAAGGGAAGAGGCAGCCGGAGGGTGCTAAGTGGGAGTGAGCCCCAGAGTCCTCATGAGGGCCCTTCTCCCAGGGGCTGCTCTTTGCCGGCTACCACCTAGGCATTGCCCTATGGGACAGGTCCCCAGTATCCCTGTCTGTCAAAAGGAACAGCCTCATGCTTCCCGGCACGCAGACAGACAAATGTAACAGAACTGAGAGTCCAGGAATCAACCCAGATTACCTAGCAGCAATATATATATATATATTTTTTTTTTTGTCTTACTGCCTCTGCCTCTCTATATAAAATTTAACTCCAAATTGGCCAAAGATCAAATATGAGCATTATAAGAGGCTGAAGCAGGAGGATCATAAGCTTGAGGCCAGCCTAGGCTATACAGAGCGAGACCCTGTCTCAAAAGAAATAAACAAACCATAACACACTTAGAAAAAAACAGACAGGCACCTCATGACCCTAAATTTGGCAGTCGTTTCTTAAACGTGACACCAAAAGCACAAGAAAATAAAGAAAAAGACAGATAAACTGGACTTGACCAGTATTAAAAACCCTAAACTACCTGGACTCTGGACTGGGCTGAGGTAGAGCTCTTGCTTAGCATGTGTGAGGCCCTGGGTTCAGTCAGCACTAGAAAATTAAAATATAAAAACTGCATAAAAAGACACTATTCAAAGAGCGAAGTTGAGTTTGCTGGTGAACATTTGTAATCTTAGCACTCTGGCAGGCTGAGGCAGGAGGATTTCAAGTTTGAGCCCAGCCTGGGCTACACAGTGAGTTAAAGACCAGCCTGAATTACATAGCAAAACTGTTTCAAAAAACAAAAACAAAAGCAATTAAATGAACATAAATAAATGACATGGGGGGTCAGTGTAAACATCCTGGGTTCAATCCCCAATAATGTTAAAAAAAAAAAAAAAAAAGTTGAGGGGGGTTTTATGGCATAATGATTAGAATCTAATATCTAAAATATATAAATAACTCATACAAAAAGAGACAAAAGAACATACAATTCACAACAAAAAGACAACTCAATAAATTAGCAAAGGACTAGAACAGACAGTTTTGTTTTGTTTTAAGACAGAGTCTTGCTATGTAGTTCAAGCTCGTCTCAAACTCACAGTGATCCTCCTGCCTTGGCCTCCTGAGTGCTGGGGTTACAGGCATGTGCCACTGTACCCAGCTTGGAATAGACATTTCTCCAAAGAAAACATACAGGCTTAATATCATCAGTTATTCAGGGACCACAAATAGAAACTGCATGAACTATTGTGTATCTTTAGGGTGATGATGATTTTTCAAAAGCATCAGTGAGGACGTGAAGAAACCCTCACGCACTGCTCCATGGGAGTGCAAAATGCTCAGCTACTTGGAAGCAGTGTGGAGGCTGCTCAGTGAGTTCCACTCTGGTTTTTCTGGTTTTTCTCCGGTACTGGGAACCGAACTCACGACCTTGCGCTTGCCAGGCAGGCGCTTTTGCCGCTGAGCTAAATCCCCAGCCCGTGAGTTCCACTCTGAATTCCCACACGACACAGCAATGCTACTCCTAGGAGGGTCCCAAAGGAAGTGAAAACAGATGCACAGAAATCTAAGGGCAGGGCTGTATCTCAATGGTAGAACGTGTGACATCTTGGGTTCGACCCCCAGCACCATATACCCATGCACGCGTCCGCACATGCGTGCACACGTACACCTTGAGGCTCTTCCAACTGAAACTTGGATCCAAACATTCATAGCAGCACTGTTCAGGATAGCACAGAGGAGGAAAGGACCTAAGTGTCAGCACAGTATGGTGCCACACACCTGTAATCCCAGAACTTGGGAGGCTGAGGCAGGAGGATCGCTTCAAGTTTTGAGGCCAGCCTGAACTACATAGTGAAACTCTATCTTAAAAAAAAAAAAAAAAAAAAAAAAAAAAAAAAAAAAAAAAAAAAGAGCCAGGCATGGTGGCACACGCATGTAATTCCAGCACTTGAGGCTGAGGCAGGAGGATCATTGCAAGTTCGAGACCAGCCTGAGCTCAAGGCCAGCCTGAACTGCACAGTGAGACCCTGTCTCAAACAAACAAATAAACAAACAAACAAAAAACCCACAACAACAACAAAAAAACCCAAGCAAGAATGAATCTTGGAAACTGTGCCATAAGAAGGGAGTCACCAAAGGTTCCTGTAGGGTACTGTAGGATTCCACTTACATGAAACATTCATAATTGACTGCTCCATAGAAGCTGAATGCAGCTTAGTGGCTGCCACAGGATTGGGAAGGGGCAATGCGGGATGACTGTTCTGGGGGTAGAGTTTCTTTCTGGGGTAACAGAATGTTCCACAGGTAGACAGTGGTGATGGCTTTACAGCACTGTGACTGGGCTACACGCCATGGAATTGGATGGTTTTAAATGGTTTCAGAGGTAAATAAAAGGGTAAATTCCACGTATGTACATTTTACAATAAATAACAAAAGAAGGTATTATGACTCATGATAAGATGTTTGGAGAGGGCTGCGGAATGGGAGCAGGATGCTGGGGACAGTGGCATTTGCCTGTAGTTGCAGCACTTGGGAGGCCGAGGCAAGAGGACCACTGTGCATTCAAGACCAGCCTGAACTACACAGCAAGACCTTAACTCAAAAAACAAAAACAACCTCCTCTCCTCCCAAAAAAGAAAAAGCAAGAAAGAGTGGGTGCAGGAGGCTGAGCCTCAGAACTGACCTGGGTGGACCCAGGCAGGGTAGTAAGGGCCAGGACCTGGCTGGAGCCCAAGCCTTCTCACTCGCAGTAGGGTGCAAACAATGGGCATTCATCACAGCCTCTCTAGCAGAGCCTTGGGTGGGGGCGAGAGATGAAACTCGGTCATGGAGGTGAGGGGGCTGGACCAGGACAGCCCCTTGGGCAGCAGGAGGTGTGAGGGCAGCATGCATGGCTCAGGAGGCAGGGCCCTCTCACACTCTGGACTTGCTGGCTCCTCCTGAGGGAGAGGACCAAAGCGGTGTCACCCCTCTCGGTTCAGGCTATCAGCCAGGGCCTAGCCTGAACTTTCTGCAAGGCTCCCTGGGCACTGGGTGGAAAGGAAAACATCAGCCAGCAGCTTTTCTTTCAGAGACTAATTCTGGGCTGAGCGCTGAGGCAGCCAGGAAACTCGAGCCAGCTGCGAGCTCAAGAAAGACAGCGAGAAGCCCTTCCTGGGGAGGCTGAGCCATGCCTCCTGCAGTTACAGGCCTCCAAGAATGCTGTAATCATGGCCCTGGCTATGGCCGTGGACTAACCCTAACCCGGGGCAGTCACAACCTCTAGAAGAGGCTGCAGCCAGAGTAGTCCAAAGCCCTAAAGATGCGAGCCAAGCTCACCCTCACACCCTGGTGAGTGGAGGCCAAGGGACAAGAGGAAGTGGCTACCTGTAAAGAACTGGAAAGCACCTGGACACAGTGGCTCAAGACTGCCATTCTAGCCAGGTACAGTGGCACACACCTGTAATCCCAGCACTCAAGAGGCTGAGGCAGGAGGATCGTTGCAAGTTCAAGATCAGCCCAGGCATAAAGTGAGCCCAAGGCCAGCCTGAACTGCATAGCACAACCCTGTCTCCAAAAAAAAAGACCAGAAAAAAAGACTGCAATTCTAGCTACTCAGGAGGGTGAGGCAAGAGGATCACTTGAGGCCATGAATTTGAGACCAGCCTGGGTAACACAGTGAGATCTCATCTCACTGTGGAAAGGGGCCCAAGGGAGACAGGGAGATCCAGGTGGACCCACCACCCTTCCAGGACAGCAGTGCAGCACAGAATGCTGAAGCCTCTACCCAAAACCAGCAGTTCCTTCCCTCTGTGATGCTGAAGGTCTCACCTGGTCCCCAGGTTGGGCAAGCCGATCAGCTGGATGAAGTAGACCCCTATTTGACAGAAAAATATAAAGAAGAACACGAAGAAGCTGAAAGAGTTGTCCGACCTGAGAAGAGAGGGAGAAATAAGTTATGAGAGGGCTTGGTCATGTTGCTCAGCATTTCTTCCTCAGTGTGGTCTCTCTCCTTCCTAAGAGCCGGGAGGCAGGAGGGACACAGGGACACAGGGACACAGGACAACAGGGACGGCTGCACTGTCTGGAAGGACAAGACACACAACACCAACACAGGAATACCCACCACCATAATCAAAGGTTTGCCTTTGCTGCTGCCCAATATAATGGGTCTGGGTTGACCTCTTTCTCAAAGAGTTGAAAAAATTGCTCCCCCAAGGCAGGCAAGGAAGTTGCAAGCCTGTAATCCCAGCATTCAGAAGGCAGAGACAGGAGGATCAACTCAAGTTCAAGGCCAGCCTGAGCTACACAGTGAGTTCAAGGCCAGCCTGAACTACCTATTCAGATTCTGCCTCAAAAAAAGAACAAAAATTGTTCCTCCAAGGACAAAATATATGATTTTTTTTTTGTCTGAGACAGGGTCTCACCATGTAGCTCAGTCTGGCCTCAATTTGTAGTGATCCTCCTGCCTCAGCCTCCTGAGTGCTGGGATTACAGGCATGTGCCACAACACCAGTCCCAAAGGACATCATAGAAAACCTAATACTCCCTCTCCTGGCATGGTTGCACTTCAAAGCAGGCGAGAAACTTTCAGCTAAAGGCATAAATATCTTATAATAAAACTGTAGCAGCTGAGCATAGTGGCACATGCCTTGTAACCCCAGGACTCTGGTAGGCTGAGGCAGGAGGAGCACAGGTTTGATCCCAACCTGGGCAACTCAATGAGTTAGGGAGATTCCATCTCAAAATGTAAAAAATTTT